AATAATAATAATAATAATAATAATAATAATAATAATAATAATAATAATCCTTGCTTATCTATTTTAAACAAACTTCCCTCGTATCATTAGTCCTTTTGTTATATCTACATGATTCTAAGGTCTGTTTTTATTGGCTAACCATTGATAAAATTAGCCCCATGTCAAAAAATATTCAGTTTCTTCCTTTTCCTTAATTGTAAGTGTTAGTCTATCCATTTCTGCACATTCTAATATTTTTAACATGGAAATACTCTTAAGCATTGAAACCTGACAGGAGACCAGCCCAAGGAGAAATATCTTGCAGGCTTCTCTATGGATAAGTACACCTGTTTCAACATCTAACCTCAAGACGATGCTATAGGGCAGTGACGGCTAACCTTTTCATTGTCGTGTGCTGAAAGTATGCACGCCTACACACCTGCACCCATAATACAATGCCCACGCAACCCCCCTGCCCCAGGGCAACCCTCCCACCTCTGCGCCCCGCTGCCTGCGCATGCACATCTCCCGCCTGCACGTCCCTCCCTACGCATGCACAGCAGATACCTGACAATCAGCTGGCTGGCGGGGGGCACTCCGCATGCGTGGTGGATTAGTTCCGGGCGATGTCTTGTGTGCCAGCAGAAACGGCTCTGCGTGCCACTTCCGACACGCCTGCCATAGGTTCGCCATCATGGCTATAGGGCATTGCATGCTACAACAACCAGACACAAGGACAGTTTTCCCACCCATGCCACTACTTTGCTAAACAACTAATTCCCACAACACTGTCAAAGTATCTAGTAAGTTTGTATTACTATTCTTCTTCTTATCTTTCCTATTAACTATCTCCTTATCTTCTTAGGACTCTAATTTTGTTGCTTGTATCTTACAATTTTATATTGTTGTATTGAGTAGCCTAGTATAATTTATGTCGATCACTTATTTAGTATCCTATGACTTATCATGAAGTATTGTATCATATGATTTATGATGAATGTATTTTTATGATGACTTTGATCATGATTTATCACTTGTTGCTTGTATGTACTCTGACAGCTTTTGTACTGGAGATAAATTCCTTATGTGTCCAATCACACTTAGCCAATAAAGAATTCTCTTCTGTTCTGTTCTAGCCTATGTTTTGTGAGTGGGTCCATAAAGTAGGTTTTAAAAAAAAGGCAAACAGTTTTTATTTTTATTTTTTCATTTTTATTTAACTTCTCAGTGATCTACAACCCATGTCAAAAAGCCTATTAACCATTATTACAATCTTATTAGGTTTACAGGCTGACTTTTATAGATTATAGATTTTACTCTCATGGGAATTTTATAGTAAATACATTTTATGACTATGCATGTATTAATCAGATATTAAACATCTCCTAGGTATCTTATAGTAAGTTAGTTTTATGTTACAATCATCTAACATAGCTGTTGTAGGCTTTTTCTGTGTTACAGAAATATGTTATCCCTTTGAGATTAACTTTTATTGGACTACACTTTATGTTGGATAAAGGGAGCAAAATAAAATGAAGTGATTGATATATCACCCTAACAGATGCTTGTTTACTTAATGTTTATCAGGACATCCTAGTTGCTATAGCACTGGTACTTTGCAAGCATCAAGAAGAATATCTAAGAGGTTGTTGTGCAGAATTGTTTCAATTTCAATTTCTGTTCATTTGCACCAACTTTGCAAAAGACAGACCTGGTCAGTTATTCAGAAACAGGTGTTGTCATGCCCCAGCATGTAACTTTTATATACTGTTGTTCTCTAGCCCCACTTAGTGGCTGGAGGAACAAATATGCCCCAACACATAGGAACTTTATAGACTATTGTTGCTCTCTAGCTCCATCTAGTTGCCAGAGAGACAAATACCAGTATATTGTTTGAAACTGACGTCACCCCTTACCCATCAGCCCGCACTCTCAAAACAAGTGCATGCTGGGAAGCCAGGCTCCATTTCCTTTAACATTTGGAAAAGGCAAAAGCATAAAGAAGAATCCATCTTCATCTGTGGCACATGGTCATCCAAGGACGAATTCACATCCCACACACATAGCATTGCTGGTGAGATTTAAATTGCTTGTATTTAATTGTTATGTTCAGCAGTAACTCAATACTGCTTACCTTGTGTCTGGTTCTCATTGTATGTATTCCTATTTTCCCCAGTTTCACCACATCCTGTACTTTCAATAAAACATCCAGACCTATGCCCATGGTCTGTTTTATTGGAGGATAGGTGAGTCGAGCTGCATGTCGAGCTGCACACAGACTAACGTGTAGTGAGGACAGGACAGAACAGGTGTCTTCTTCAATGTTATGAAGCCTCTTAGGAACATAGTGGCTCAAGTGGTTGGAACGTTGGCCGAAAGATTAGCAAGCCCACGTTCGAGTTGAGTTCCCGTCCTTCACTCCAGCTCCTGCCAGGGACATGAAAGGACCTTCCAACTGGGCATCCCCGGGGCAACGGTATTGCCACCGGCTAATCCTTTCAAACGGAAGCGAGAAGCCCTTTTTTTCCAGTGCTTTGGACAGCACAAAGGTTTAATATATAATTATTAGGCATTTACTGTCACACAAGTCTTAGTGTGTTATGGAAGATTCATTCTCTTGTAAATTATTTTAAAAACAAGGTGAGGTTGCCTCATACTTTTTGCCTCACACTTATAATTAGAAATTGAAAGGCAAGCAGAACTCGTTAGCATAGCAGTAGAAAGAACAGAGGCAGAAATTCAAAAATGTCAGAACACCCTCACTCATTGTCTGGGTGACAAGAGCAAAGCCTTAAAATTCCTCCTGTCAGGAAAATTACTTTTTAAAGTTAGTTAAAAGTCATATCAGAAAGTTAGTACAACAGAACATTAACTCATTCCTGACTACCAGCTATCCAAAAGAAGCAAATAGAATACGATACAAAATTCACCGAAAAGGGCTAATATTTTTTTTTAAGAATATAGGATCATAAAAACCATTATTTTGAAATGAATCCATCTATTTACCACAATGGCAAACTGCTCCGGTTCAGACAAATCCTTATATTCATTCTTCAACTTGGATAATTCGTTGAGTTGTTTTTGGTCAGGAAGATGCTTTATTAAATTCTACATTTCATGGAAAGATATAAAATTTAAAAGTTCCTTTTTTATTTTCACTTAGAACTGGTTTGCAAGTCTTTATATTGCAAAATTACTTGCACAAAAAAGAAGGGAGATAACCTTCTCTTCAATCTCATAAGGCAGCAATGCCAAAAATAGACAGTTAAGGAAAAAGTATTTATTATTAAAAAAAACCAAGGACCCCATTAAAAATCCTAACAAATAAATGTCAAACTAAGTAGGCTATTTTTAAACTGTCCAACTGCCCTATCTTAGAGAAAACTACTCATACACAGCCTAAAGGAAACAGTTATCAAACATTAAAAGGTCCATTATCTTAATTAAAATGGCAAGTATAACAAATACAGAAGGTATAATCTGCCATCTTTGGTGATCAAACCAAACTGTATTGATGTACAAACACAAAATTATGGCTTGGCTGTGCATGTAACTTGTCTGTGACTTTCGTATAACTTACTACAAGTGTGGTAGATTTTATGAAGAGCTAATTATTAGGAATACTTGTTTATAAAACTGTTAAATCAAATTACTGCACCTGGATCATGGATTCTGACAGCTGGGTTTCATCTATTTCCAGAATCATTATTTTTATTTCTTCATAAGGTACTCGAAAAGACCCTAGGAAAATAGCTAGGAAAAACACATAAAGGCATTTTGGTATGTTTTTTTTTTATTTGAGAAGGGCAAATTAAGCACTTGGAAACACTTCAAGCATTAAGGTGTTTTCAGAGAAAACGTTTTTGGAGGTGGGGCCTGATTAGAGTGTTTTTTCTGTGTGAGAACCAAGTCTCACACCTGCCTTGGGGGATAAGAAAGGCCTGAAAAACAGGATGGATGGATGGATGAATATGCAGGTGAGTTAAGAAGAAAGTGTGGCTTCCAAACAGGAAGGGAGAGAGGGAGGGCGGCAGGGAGGGATGAGAGAAGGAAGATAATAAAAGGAAGGGAAGGAGGAAGGAAGAGAAATGGGAGGAAGATGATAAAAGGGAGGGAGGGGATGGAAGTAAGGAAGGGATGAGAAAAGACAGGGAGGGAGAGTTGAGAGAAGGAAAGAAGGAAGATGATAAAAAGAATGGAAGGAAGAAGATAAAAGGGAGGGATGGAAGGAAGGGATGAGAAAAGGGAGGGAGGAGGGAGGGAGGGAGGAAGGAAGGAAGGAAGGAATAGGACTTCAACTGTTATAATAGTAGGAGTGACAGAATACTGATAGCAACTAACTAACTAACTAACTAACTAACTATGAGGAGAAGTCATACTTAGATTGATGGCATTGGGAATTTTGAACTCCTCCCAGTGCTATCAGAATGAACCTCATTAAGATAACATGGGAAGGAAACTAAAAGCTGTTATCCAGGTCAACATGTAATGTAATGTAAATGTAATGAAATGTAACAAAATCGGCCCTTAGCAGGCTTGGACATGATCCTTACTTGGGATGGGGTAGGAGAGAGGCCTGCTCATTTTTTAACAGCTTTACAATCATCTTTACTAATCTCTTTTACTATGGATATTTTTTTTTTTTGCACCCACCTTCAGAGGGGAGTCTCTGATCGCAAATAAATAAAATTATGTAATGGGAGTAATAAATTTATCATCTGACACCGCATCAAAACCAAACTGAAATATAAGGAGGAGGGGAAGAAAAGAAGAATAAAAGGACACAAGATGAAAACAGGTGCAATGAGGAAAGAAAAAAAAACAAAGAATATTCACTGAATAAAAGTGGGAGTAACGAAAGATACAGACCAAAAAAAAAAAAAAAAGAATATTAACAGAAAAACAGAGTGGGAAGGGACCTTGTAGGTCATCTAGTCCAACCCCCCGCCCAAGCAGGAAACCCTACACCATTCTGGACAAATGGCTGTCCAGTCTCTTCTTGAAAACCTCCAGTGATGGACCACCCACAACCAAAAGCGAAATCAGCTTTTATTTAAAAGTGAACGCTAAATGTACAGGAGATATTTCCCAACTTCTTCTGCACCTTCCTTTTCAATGCTCACAATGATACATCCCTTCCCCATTCACCCATTGCTTGGAATTGTTTCTGTCAAAGCCGCATTACAAAGTAGAATTATATGTAATTCCGAAAGTAGTATTAATGCTCAATTATTATTCTTTTTCCAAACAACAGCTATTTACTTACAAAGATTTTGTGCGATCTTTGGATCCAGGATTTTCAGTTCCTTGATTCGTTTTTTAACAGGTTTCCTCTCTTCAAAGCCGTCATCTCTTTTCACTGTCAAGAAAAATGGTGGGCCAACATAAAGAAATATTTATATCTAGCTCTATACCCGTGCTTTGCTATGAAACTATGTGTTTGGGCTTAGTTTTGGGGGAAGAATGTAACTGAAACTCCTCTCCTTTGCTTGTGTTTTGCATTTGGAACAGATTTCTTTTCGGGTGGAGAGGGGGAGTAGAACTCCTTAGCATCAGAGCGTGTTAATAATAATAATATAGGAAATACTAATCCTCTGATGGTCATTTTGAAAAATCCTTAGCGTGCACCTAGACCCCAAGAGGAACATACGTGCCAAATGTCAAGTTTGTAGGCTTTACAGTTCTGGAGATTTTGTGATGCGTGAGTGGTATTTCACTTTTATATAGAGAGAAATATTGCACTTGCGTAGTATTTCAGCTTCGGTGTGGTTTCAATGTAAGTACTGAAATTGTAAGTGCTAGGGTACAATTCATTCCATTCAGGTTTTACCAATTGCTGATGAGGCATCTATAGAGCAAAGGTCCCCAACTTTTGCGGCCCAGTTTGGGGGGCGGCGGGAGGGACACTGAAACGGGGCCATGCGAATGGTGGGCTGGTGCACAACATGTGCATGAACGGACAGCTCCACTCAAGCAAGAGGGAAGCTCCTTCAGGCTTCTTCTGTTGTGGTTCGCCGGCAGCCGGTGCAGACAGCAGCAGCGGAATCGGACAGTGAGGAAGAAAGTCAGAGTCTGGAGAGGACTTGGATGAGGATCAATGCAGAAAGAGTTGCATTGGGTGTAATCCTGTTTTTATTGATGTCCATTTCTATAATCCTTTTACACGGGCATAAGGGAAACTAGCATTTCCCTGCTGTCTCTTACTGAATGGTGTGTTGATTCCATGTTAGATTTTTGTAGACACTTCATCAAGAGATAGTGTTGTGGTTTGCCGGCATCCGGTGCATCCGGCTGTGGAATCGGACAGTGGGGAAGAACAGGGACCAGTCAGGGAGTCTGGAGAGAACTCGGACGAAGGTCCTGCCTCCGATGCAGAGATGGAACCAGGACCATCTGGGAGTGGGGTGCTGCCTTCGCAGCCTTCGGAGTCTGGCAGCAGCAAGGCAGAGGAACCAGGGGAGCCTGTTCCCAGTGCGCGTGTGCACAGGGCTGCTAGAAGGCGAGAGCAGCTGAAACAGAAGGGGCAACTAGGGATAAGGCTGGGAGGTGATTGCCCTTCCCATAAGGTATAAAGGTCAGGCCAAGATGATGAAACCTTTGCAGGAAGCAAAGTAGTTTGATCGGTTCCGAGTCCTCCTTGAAGCACTGTGTATTTTGGTTGTTTTTTTCTTGTACTTCGGTTGGTTTCTTTTTTAGCTAATTTGATACTTCTGTTTTCGGCAGCACTTCACAGAACTCCAAGGTGTGTGCTTATCTTGGGGGACTGTTTGGAATTAATTCCGGCTGGGAATGGAAACAATTCCCTTTGGGCGCGCGGTCTCGTGCTCCTTCAGACTCAAAGAGGTGTCCAAAAATGGATCAGATGTCCTGCGCAAGCAGACTTGGTGAGTCAGCCAAGCTGAGCAGGATGCCCTCATCCCACTCAGCCTCTGCATTCACTGCTTCACTTTTGGAACATCAGGAGCAGGCGGTTTGGTGTACCGGCTGTGTGTGTGTGTGGGGAGATGGGAACTTGGCCATACGAATGGCGGGCCGGCACGCACATCCGCAGCTCCACTCACACAAGAGAGAAGCTTTTGGGATGCCACTGGTGTGCATCTGTTGTGTCCCGCCAGCCGCCAGCAGAGCTGGTGGCAGACTCGGGGGATGAGGAGGTTGGGGAAGAACCTGGACCAGTTCTGGAGTCTGGGGAAGGTTCTGATGGATGTTCAACATTGGACAAAGAGATAGAGCCAGGGCCGTCTGACATTTCCCAGCCACGGGAGAGGCAGCTGCCTTTGAAGACTGAGATAAGTGAGGAGGAGGAAGAGCTGGGGCCTGTTCCAAGATGCGTGTATGCGCAGAGCTGTTAGGAGAGGGGAACAACGGAGGACAAGGAGTCGACTCGAGAAGCAAAGCACACGTGGATGCTGAATGGCCCCTCCTTGGCTGGGGGAATAAATAGAAGGAAAGGGGGGTGGTTATCGTAGGAGACAAACTTTATCTTTCTGGAGATTTTGCTCATTGTGTTTCATGCCACAAAACTGCTTGCCAAAACCTAATTAGCAGCCTTTTGGCTGGGAGCTTCAAATTATTACCTCTACCCCGAAAATAAGCTCAGGGTGTGGCCAGCAAGAGTGGCGGTGTTGGGGAGGCAACTCTCCAGCTGCAGCCCGCTGACCTCTTGGGATAGCGCAAATACTGCTTTTGCCCTTCTCTTTCTGGGCGCAGCGCTTCTGCTTGTTGGGCTGCTTCCCCAAAGCCGGCAGCTCCGCTGCCAACTGCTTTGCTTTTTCCCTCTTTTGGGGAGGCTTGTAGGCAGCTTTTTTGCTCGTGGGAAGAAAATGGGGAGGGGGATTTTGCTGTATGTCATCCATTCCTCAAGCTCAGCACAGACTGAGGGAAGGATGCCAGGCAGGAAAATTCCCCCTCCTGATCACACCTCCCGTTCACCAAAAAGCCTCAGTTCCAAACGCAGAAGGTTCGGAATGGAGGCGACAGTGCGTTCACGGCGTGTCCAGCTCACCAAGTCTGGCTTGCTGCACCTCAGAAAAAGTAAGACTGCCTCGAAAATAAGCCCAAGTGCTTATTTTCAAGTCTAAAAGAAAATAAGACTCAATCTTATTTTCTGAGAAACAAGGTAGTTGCTGAGTGACCATTCAAAATTCTGATGGGGCCCACAAAAGCTAATTTCAAATCCAAAGTTTTGATGTCTACTCCCTGCGTAATCTGACTGCATTCGAGCCTACATGCAGTGCCTCGTGGTTATGTGACCACAACTTGCACAATTTTAGCTTATTTCTGATTTCCGGCAAAAACTACCTCCTGGAAACAATGGGTTTACTTAACCACTGCACTCCTTACTCAACATCTGCTGCGCCTGTTTAACGACCGCCACAAAACAAAGGACATCCAATCAAGTTTGCTCACATGGTGGATTACTTTATAATCATATGAACATAGGACTATAATTGTGGGTTCAGGTGCAGTTATAACTTGAGGTCTACTTTTATATCGCGGGCATTATCTGGTTTCACAGAATAAACTATTCCTGTGATGGCGAACCTATGGCACGCGTGCTACAGGTGGCACGCAGAGCCATTTGTGCTGGCACGCAAGCCACAGGCAAACTTACCTCATTGCGCATGTGCGTGCCTCACAGCTTATTTTTTTCGGTTGATTTGAGGCCTTTTTCGTCTTCCCGGAGGCTTGGAAAAAGCATCTGCAAGGCTTTTCAGGACGAATTATAGGCCCATTTTGTCACCTTCTGTAATACCGGAAGTGACG